GCCGGAGCCCGCCAGCAAAGAGCATTCACCAATTGACATCTAACCCTCCAGTACTGGGTCACTGGGACCAGGGCTCTCCGCGCCGCCCCTCCTCAACAAAAAAACGGAGCAGAGCACATCGGAGAGCCGTGGAAGGGAGCACCCGCTACGCCCTATCGCGGGGAAACGCCTCCCACGGAATTCCTCCGGAGGCTGCCAGGACGAGTCTTTCGTCCCGACGAGTTTCTCTCAGGAGCGTGGGATCGTCACGCCCAAGCAACGCGAAGCTGCGGGCCAGCAGCGAGCTTTCCGCAGGACAGTTACCGTGCCACGGCCGGCCCTGTCTGTACTTGTCCTTCCCTGGGTCTCAGGCAGCCACGAACTACGAGTTCTGGTTTTTTTTTTTTTAGGCTGACCTAGCAGACAAGCTTGGTTGAGCCAGGCGGTAGCACCGGCTTTAAACAGCCAGTCAGAAACGCGACACCCTTCCCCGTCCCCACTGAACGAACAGGACCAGCGCTATTTCCCCTCATTTGAATGGTTCAGTCAGGGGAAAAAAAACCCCACCACCGAGGCAATTTTTGTTACAAGTCTGTATTTCTTCCAAAAATAAATATATGAACACCCTGCTCCAAACCCGAGACCAGGAGCCAGCCTGTGCTCGAGAGGAGCAGAACCAGTACAACGGCTCTGCGACGGTCTCCGCTCAGCGCGACTGGGCACTGAAGCCCTCCAGAGCACCGCGTGACGCCCGGACAAACGCCATGTCCCGCCTGTACTTCATGGCAGTGGGTGGCTGGCGCCTGAGCAGCCGGTCACCGCTGTCCTGTGGGTCAGGGTCATCATAGATAGTCGAGATGAGGATGGGAGCGTCCCGCCGGGGCTTTTTCACCTTGCTGAAAGTTGGCAGTTTCTCCCCGTGGTACCTAGAGGGGAGGAGGAAACGTTTGGTCCGACGTTGCCGAGGCAGTCAGACACCCCTTTGCATCCCAGCTCAGCTCCTTCACACGCTGGCAGGGGAGAGGTGGACCGATACAGGGCGATAGGGATTCTCGTCCTATTCCTGGCTGCGAGATTGCTCTACGGACGAGAGCCAGCCCTCACGGTGAAACACAGCACCGCGCAAAGCCTCCAGAAACCCCGCCGAGAAGGTAGGGGTGAGGCGCGCAGCTACAGCTCGGGTCACTTGGGCTTTCCCCACCGGAATACCGTAGCAGAGGTGACCCTCAAGCACAGCTCTCCCTCCGTGTTTGTGTGCTGCATGAACCTGCACACGGTTCCAGCCCTACTCTAACACCACAAGCTCCTCTGAGGAGCACTGGCCCATCAGGAAGAGCAGCGTATTTAGCTCTGGAGCGCTGTGGCGGGCCCTGCCACCAGCTGCGCGGAGAAAGGCAGATCCCTGGGACAGCCTTCCAGTTCTGGTTCACGCTCCGCTCCTTTCGCGGCCAGTTAGCTGCTGCGTCAGCCCAGAGAGCGCGGGCAGAGGCTCTGAACGCAGGCTGGCAGGGCAGGGTTGGGTACTTACCCCAGCCCCCTCTTGCATCTGGGGTTCTGACCCTCGTTCTCCAGAGCTTCGGCCATTCCACAGTTGCTGGACCCCAGCCCCAGCCCCTCCGTCCAGCCCTGCTGCTCCAGCACCTTCCTGCCAAAGCCCTGGGAGAGGGGGAAAATAAAACAAAAAAAAGGTCACAGAGTTGCCGGACAAAGCCCATCCTCATCTTCCCAGCGCCCTCTGCCCCCTCCCAACATCCAAGACCTCTCCTCCTCCCCCTAACCCACATCCTCTGAGCGTCGCCAGCAGAGCCTTTCCTGTCCTGCCCCATCCTCTCCCGAGCACGTATCCAGAGCTCACCTTGGTGTACCTCTCGAAGGTGCCAATCTGTTGCCTTGAAACAGACCCGTCCTCCAAGCCGTCCCGGAGTCGCTGTTCCAGCCACATCTGGACCGAGTCCCGAGCATCCTTATCACCCCCATCTAGGGAGAAAGAAGCAAGAGTCAGAGCAGCACAGCTCAGGAAAGCTGTTCACTACCGTCATTTCCCCCAGAGCACCACGCAACAAGGAGGCAGAACCTGTTCTTTTTTGGCAACTCTTGCTGCCAGACAAGAAAAAACGTTTCGTTTCAAGTACGCTGACGTCTTGGAGGCTTTCAACGGGTGACAGAGCCAAAGAGTTCCCCACTGCAGAAATTCTGCAGGGTCAGAATTTCTCAACCTCCCTGGTTTGCCGGAGGCGGGGGGGGGGGGGT